CCTGTGCTTTAGGGGCTGTCCGTCTAAAGAATGATCGACACGATTCGCAAGTAAGGGCACTAAAATTATTTCCTAAAATTGGTATATGTGTTGTAGAATATAGTAATTATAATTGTGATTATAATTGAAAATTAATGTATAATAATGTGTAATAAATTCATACCAACTGCTCGATCACCACAAACGCAACAAATTTTTTCACTCATTTTGGTGCACAAAGTTGTTCAATAAATTATATTTTTAAAAATAATTCACTGTATTTATTATGTTTAAAATTCAATTACTGTATAAGAAAATACCAGTGTAGATATAATGTATTGATTTAACACGCTTTATTATGTTTTATCAATAAATGTAATTTTACTAAATATAAAATAAATTCACGTAATGAATATTTTATATTTCAAAACAAAACAAAAATAACATTGAACCGTTAGATAAGATTCTACACTTAATGTATTGGATAATATTAGAAGTTGTAATGTACTTGTTAAGTCAATGATATTTTGAATAATCAATATATTTCTTAATAATTATATTCAATAATACTTAGAAATAAATAATTTAACAGAACATTAAATAATTCATTACATTATATGAAAACATTTCCAGTTCCTCGTCGATGACACCCATGAGCTCAACCAACGCACACAACCTCTACAACCCATACCTTTCCAGTGCTTATATGAGTGCTTCAGCCGGTAATGGCAGTGGACTTATGTCTCAACACAACTCCAAACACTACCGGCCCTGGGGGGCGGAACTCGCCTTTTAGACCATCTATTCATTCATACCGTGAGATAAGAAATCATTTGAAATTAAGTTTATTTTAAATAAAAATGTCTAAACTTATATATTCATGGAAAATATATTAAGATATTTATAGATTACTTAGTATTCATAGATCTCTCAACGATATTATTGAAAATTTTTTTATGCATAGAATATATTTTTAGTCATTAATACTCGAAAGAATAATATGTAAAAATCTATTTATATTTATTATATAACATTAATACCGTATAATTTATTCTAGTCTTATAAATAAATATTTTGTAAACAATTTGATAAAACGAAAAATAAAATTGAATTTTATTTGATACATGTGTTTCATATTTTTATTGACTTTCAGAATTTGCACAGAAACGTTGGATTTACTTGTATTTATTGTTTTGTCAATTTAGTCAATAATATTGATTTCAAATATTGAGAATTGTTCTCAAATTACCGATTTTTATTAGTTTGAAATTTGATTCATAATAGGTTAGCTCAGAAGTATTTATATAATTTTCATTGCAATACTGTACTAATAACATTGTTATGATTTACCTGGATTATAAAAACAGAATTTTCGTATCTAAAAGATGACTACATATTATTGAGTAACTTTTTATAAAAATATTTTAAATTAATTTTTCTAAATTAAGAAGCACTTTATAAAATACTAAAAATTTTGATTAATTTATTGCATTTATACTGGTATAAGAGTGTTATTATTGAGTGTAAAAACACATAAATGTGGTTACTAGTTAGTATTATCTCAAATAAACTATTATTCACACATAATTAATGATACAGTATCTCTAATTAATAAATATAAAAAAGTAGATGTATTAACCAATTGATCAATAGAAGTAAAATCTACACCTGAGTTAATATTTATTATCTATTTTACAGTATTTTTTATTGTACAGGTATTTTGAAATAAAATCAATTTCATTGAACACTTGAATACACGGGAAGACATTTATTCAATGCTTTTGAAATGATGTGATTATTAAGAAATGTGCTTTTGTTTGTCTACAATTGTATCTCATTTTGCACTCAAGTTTTAATAATGTTTTCATATAATGTAATGAATTATTTAATGTTCTGTTAAATTATTTATTTCTAAGTATTATTGAATATAATTATTAAGAAATATATTGATTATTCAAAATATCATTGACTTAACAAGTACATTGCAACTTCTAATATTATCCAATACATTAAGTGTAGAATCTTATCTAACGGTTCAATGTTATTTTTGTTTTGTTTTGAAATATAAAATATTCATTATGTGAATTTATTTTATATTTAGTAAAATTACATTTATTGATGAAACATAATAAAGCGAGTTAAATCAATACATTATATCTACACTGGTATTTCCTTATACAATAATTGAATTTTAAACATAATAAATACAGTGAATTATTTTTAAAAATCTTAAATGTTTTGCTAATATTTAAAAATATAATTTATTGAACAACTTTGTGCACCAAATGAGTGAAAAAATTTGTTGCGTTTGTGGTGATCGAGCAGTTGGTATGAATTTATTACACATTATTATACATTAATTTTCAATTATAATCACAATTATAATCACAATTATAATCACAATTATAATCACAATTATAATCACAATTATAATTACTATATTCTACAACACATATACCAATTTTAGGAAATAATTTTAGTGCCCTTACTTGCGAATCGTGTCGATCATTCTTTAGACGGACAGCCCCTAAAGCACAGGTATGTTACCATAAATTTTATTTTAAATTACATTGTATGAAATATTAACCAGCGATATTTTGACTTGATAATTATTTTGATTACAATTAGGATCTCAAGTGTTATTTCGGCGACAAATGCGAGATAACATGTGTTACGAGAAAATTCTGCAAAAAGTGCAGAATTCAGAAGTGTTTCGACGTCGGCATGAAAATCGTAAGCACCTGTCCCTCTCATACTAATATAATCTATGAGTTGATTGTAAATAATGTTTACAAACCCTTCTCATAGGAGTGGATTCTCTCGGGAGAGGAACGACAGCTCAGGAAAGAGCGTAAGAAACGGTCGAAAGGCGAGGAATCGTCGGCCGACTCGACTTCGGACTCGTCGTCGGACACGAATGCCGTGAAGAGAGCGACTGTCGAACAGAGTTTAGTGGAGCGAAGGGCTGCCGAAATGCCGGCCCTCGTCCGGGACCTCATCTTCGCCTTCAATGACCTGGAGATCAGTCGCTTCCGAGAGCTGTTCACGTCTACGGTGTCGATGAGGGATCCGGTGGTGACGCCCACCTTCGAGACAACCAATTTCGTGGATGCGCTCAAAGTGTTGCAAAAGAGATGTGACATAAAGTGTCGACGAATTGTAAAGATGTCCACAAATATGAGTGAATTCACGGGTCTGTGCGAAGAGGACAAGATAGCCCTCTTGAAAGCCGCCTGTCCTGAGATTATATGCTTGATATCAATAATTAATTTCAACTTCGATGGCGAGTACTGGAACGTTGCCATCGTATGTGTCCATTGATATGATATTTGGTTTGGATTTTAAAATACAATAATTAATGTAATGTTTCTTATTGTTGATAATTATTAGGATGAAGATCACGCGACCACACTAAGGCTCGACATATTTAAATTGGTTCAGGGTAACCTTTACGAAGCGCATAGACAGTTCCTGTGGTCTATGAGTGAACAATACAATTCAGACATTAATATTATTGATCTGGTATTACCTAATAATTGGATTTGAATTTGTATGTCATTTTATTAATATTTTGTATCAAATGTTATGTTTTAGTTAATCGCTATAATACTCTTCAACCCAAACCAACCAAATCTAGTCCATAAAGATATGGTTAAGTGAGTGATAAAAGACTTGAAAAAAATTAATTTTTAAATTAATTGTTGTTTATGTGTTGTTTAGAGTCCAGCAACAGATGTATATGTATTTACTTCGACGATATCTTGAGCTGAAACACAGCTCGAAGACTGAATCGGAGATACGATTCGTGAAACTCATGAATAATTTGCAGGAATTATATGCTGTGAATCGCATTCACGTCGATAAGTTTCTCGAGTCCGGGCCCAAAGAGGCCGGACCTCTGGTCGAAGAGATTTACGACATTAACAATTGATTTTAGTTTTTAATTCAATTTATAAATTAAAGTTTAGAAAGTATTTGTCAGAATACACATTAAACCTAAAAATGTTGGTCCACTTGTCAGTGAAATATATCAAATTAACTCATAGTACAGTTAATTACTTTGTATACAGTATATTCATTAAATTGTTTATTTATTCACCTTGGTATGGCTAGGAATGTAAACAGTAATATGTTGACTTTGCAGACTATTAGATTTAAAAACAAAGAGTGTAGGTTAACATTTAATGTAAATAAAATTAGNACAGTTAATTACTTTGTATACAGTATATTCATTAAATTGTTTATTTATTCACCTTGGTATGGCTAGGAATGTAAACAGTAATATGTTGACTTTGCAGACTATTAGATTTAAAAACAAAGAGTGTAGGTTAACATTTAATGTAAATAAAATTAGAAAATGTTTTTTGATAAGAAATTTTATTCATTATTTAAAAAGTTGTTGTATCTATAAATTCTACCAAATAACTTCTAAACATTTGTTCGAGATAAATTTGTTTTTATAAACCCTTAATAATTGAGTAAAGTCCTTTATATTGTATGGTAAAAATTTTCAATGATCGATTTTGACAAAAAAGAGACAAATATAATTTAATTTTAATTTTTATACAGTGTGAATTTCATAAAATATTAAGCGATGACAAAATAAATAATAAAGTTTTTAATGATTAAGCTTATATGAGAATTGGAGTTTTGTATTAGCTTTTCCAAAAAATATGTATATATTGAAATTCATTTAATCACATATTAAACTATGATAAATGTAATGAATAACCAAGTATTTATATTGAATGAGTCAGTTTATTTATGACAAATGTTTTATATATATATTTATATAAAATTTTGCAAAAGTGGTTTTAAAGTTGCAATTCTCATATAGCGTTTACCTAATTAAGAATGGTTTTTAATTTATGGCAATTGTTAAGACATGGTGTTTGAATTATATGTAAGCATTCAATTGTAATTCTTTTAATAGTTGCACTTAATATCATTGAATGTATTGTAAATAAAATTTAATTCAAAACTTGTACCAGAAATCTATACTTTCACTTCGAAATTTCAGGACACTTTCTTGATAATTTTTTAATTATAAACAATAGGCTATTGTATAATGTATCGGTAAAAAGTATAATAGACATTAGTAATGTAACTAATAGTTATATAAAATATAAATTATAATTATCAATGATAATTTTTGAGTGATCTTATTTGCTATTTTATATAAAATAGTGAACATGTCATGGAACCGTTTTCACTTAAACATGTATTTATTATTGCCATTTATTAACTGCTTATATAGTTAGCCATATAATGTAATTTTGACAATAAGTTATTATTTAGAAAATGTATTTTTCTAATAAATAATAGTGGCTAAAATGACATAAAGTGCCAACTCGCAATGTTAACTTGTTAGTATACTGTATACTGTAGTTACTGTAGTTACTGTAGTATACTGTAGTTAGTAGACTTGTAACATGGTTTATATAATTAATGATTCACATTGTACTATATAAACACAACTTAAACTACATTTAGTATAATATACTTGGTGCAATAGACTAAACATCATTATTTTGAATTTTACTATATTTATCAAATAAAGTGTCTTAAAATATTTTAAGTTGTATTTATTTAATCAAGCAAGATTAATATAAATAATTAAGCAAGCTAAATCATTGATAACGTGAGCTGGTGGTCGGGCGGACAGCTCCTGGAGGTCGC